CCGCTGTTGGTGAGTCTAGTCTGTTTGTCTCAAGTCTGCTCATGCTATGTGTTCAAGTCAAGTCTGTGTCTTGGATTATTGTTTGGATCACTCTGTAAATAAACTGCACTTGGGTTCTCACTACGCTCGCCTTCAGTGGATTGACTCTTTACAAGTATAACAAACAAACAAGCCTTTGGGAAAAACAATGATTATACATCTGAAATGGATGCAGTTACCACATAACTAATGTCTGTATTGTCAAAAATGTACTGTAGTCAAAGGGAAAATTTCAAATCAATGGATTTATTAAATACAAAATAGAAAACATTCAATTGTTTATTACAGCTAATTTGACACTCTGAAAGGGACTACAATCTTTCAAATTAACAAAAAATAAAAATCAAATCATTACTTTGACCTCTGCTTAAAATGTTTTTGTGTGCTGAAGTATTCATTGGCAAAGCTCACTCTTCCCCCGAGGTCTCAACTAGTCAACAGACGGTGGTAGCGCGCCATCTCTTGAATTCCGCAACCACACCTTTATCTCACTTTCAACTTCAGAATCAGGAGGACTTGGCTGAAAGGAGCATTTGAGAAAAAAAAAAAAGTGGCAAGTAGGGGTAGAGGTGGTGGGAGAGTTAGAGATCCTGGGTGCACCGCAGCGGAAGACGCGAGCCAGGCCCCGGGCGACAACCTCTCCCCCTCCGGTCTTCGAGATCTCCACCCGGAACCGCTTCACTCCTCTCCGCGAGACTGAATGCGACGCTGTGATTGTCAGAGACTCCATCATCTGGCACGTCTGTGCTACGAAAGCCGAAGGTAAAGTGCACACTCCCTGTTTTCGTGGTGGTCGTGTTCGATGTTTTTGCACAGATAGCCGCGATCCTGAAGGGCGACGAGAGCCCCGGAGCGGTGCTTCACACCGGGGTTAACGACACCAAGCTACGGCAGACGGAGACACTGAAGAGGGACTTCAAGGGCCTGATCGAGACTGTACACAGCACATCTCCCGCAACGATGATCATCATGTCAGGACCGCTTTTCACGTATCGACGAGGACACAAAAGGTGCAGTAGACTTTTTGCTTTAAATTAATGGTTATTGTCATGGTGTAAAGAACAGAAACTGCTGTTAATTTAAATCTTTTCTGGGACATCCTAGGCTTTTTCGCGCTGATGGCCGGCACCCCAGCAGAGTCGGAGCGAAACTCCTGTCAGACAACATCTCCAAGACACTCCATGTGACTAGTAAGTCAAATCTCAAATAACTGCCATGACTTTTTTTCTACCCGCTCAAATGATAGAAGTACTTGCGCTGTCCAATCTATAAAGACTGTGTCTGTTCCCCGAATAGTGAGGTCAAAATATAAAATTTAATGCAAAAATAAAGCAAAACCTCACTGGGCCCACTCATCTTTTAGTCATACACTAGATTTAATTATAAATCGCATGGAATTGATCTTTCTGATATAGATATTGTACCTCAAAGTGATGTCACTGACCATTTCCTTGTATCGTGCATGCTGCGTATTACCGATATTAACTATATGGCTCCGCGTTATCCGGGCAGAACTATTGTTCCAGCCACCAAAGACAGATTCACAAATAACCTGCCTGATTTCTCTCAATTGCTCCGTGTACCCATAAATACACATGAGCTAGACGAAATGACTAGCAACATGGGCACGATCTTCTCTAATACATCACAAGCTGTTGCCCCCATCAAATTAAAAAAGGTTAGAGAAAAACGTACTGCGCCATGGTACAACAGTAATACCCATTCTCTCAAGAAAGAAACTCGTAGTCTTGAGTGCAAATGGAGAAAAACTAACTTGGAAGTTTAAGAACTGCGTGGGGGAAAATAATAAATAAAATTGTCCAGTAATAGACAGGCTCTAGAAGCTGACAGGGCCAAGCATATCCATAAACTCATAGAAAATAACCAAAACAATCCAAGGTTTTTAATTTAGCACAGTGGCTAGATTAACAAATAACCAGATGCCACCCGATCTAAATATTCCCTCACAGTTTAATAGTAATGACTTTATGAATTTCTTCACTGATAAAATAGATAACATCAGAATAAATACAACAAATATAGATTATACAGCATATAATACTACAGCTTCATTCATCGCACCAAAAGATAAACTGCAGTGCTTTACAACTATAGGACAGGAAGAGCTAAATAAACTTATCACTGCATCTAAACCAACAACATGCCTGTTAGGTCCTGTGCCCACTAAATTACTAAAAGAGTCGTTACCTGTAGCAGAAGAACCGCTTCTCAATATTATTAACTTGTCGTTGTCTTTAGGTCACATCCCAAAACTATTTAAGCTGGTGGTTATTACGCCTCTTAAGAAACCAAAACTAGATCCTAGTGAACTGGCAAATTACAGACCCATTTCAAATCTTCCTCTTGTCAAATTTTAGAAAAAGTTGTCTGTGCAATTGTGCTGCTTCCTGCAAAGAAATTCTCTGAAGAATTTCAGGCCCCACCATAGCACAGAAACTGCACTTGTTAAAATTACAAATACTTGCTTCTTGCATCAGACCAAGGCTGCATCTCATTGCTAGTTTTATTTGATCTTAGTGTTGTGTTCGACACTATAGTTAATGACATACTCATAGATCGATTACAAAACTATACAGGTATTCAAGGGCAGGCTTTAAGATGGTTTAGATCCTACCGGTCCGATCGCGACCACTTTATTTAAATGGGGAGTCATCTCAATTATCGCCAGTAAAATATGGAGTGCCACAAGGATCTGTCCTAGGTCCTCTGCTATTTTCGATATACATGTTGCCCCTTGGTAATATTATTAGAAAATATGGGATTAGTTTCCACGGTCATGCTGATGATACTCAACTATATATCTCAACAAGACCAGATGAAACTTCTAAATTATCTAAGCTAACAGGGTGTTTTAATGTAAAAGACTGGATGACCAATAATTTTCTCTTATTAAAATTTGGATAAGACAGATATGACTTATTGGACCAAAAGACAGAACACATTCTCTTGGATTACAATTTGCAACTAGACGGCTGTACTGTTGTATCCTCTACAGTCAAAAAGCTGGGTGTTATATTAGATAGCAACTTGTCTTTCGAAAATCATATTTCCCATGTTACAAAAACAGCATTCTGAACATAGAAACATTGCCAAGTTACGAAACATGATACCTGTTTCTGATGCAGAAAAGCTAGTTCATGCATTCATGACCTCTAGACTGGACTATTGTAATGCACTGCTAGGTGGTTGTCCTGCATCTTCAATAAACAAGTTACAGGTAGTCCAAAGGCAGTCTCTGTACTGGCTACCTATTAAATTCCATATCAGTTACAAAACATTACTTGCCTACAAGGCCCTTACTGGGTTAGGGCCTGCGTACCTAACTAGTTTTCTACCACACTACAATCCATCATGCTCCTTAAGGTTGCAAAACTCTGGACTTTTGGTAGCACCTAGGATAGCCAAGTCGACTAAAGAAAGTAGAGCTTTTTCGCATTTGGCTCCCAAACTCCGGAATAGCCTTCCTGATAACGTTCAGGGTTCAAACACACTCGCTCCGTTTACATCTAGATTAAAAAGACAATCTCTTTGGCCAAGCATTCAAATAATGCATCTCAATCTTGTACTGCAGTTAGGTCTGATCAAATGCACATTATTTTTATCTTGGGTTGAACAAATCAATTTTGCTTGGTTGGAACAGCAGCTATGGTACTTGCCTTTATTTGTTTCCGTTTTTGCCACTAGGATTTACACAAGCTTCAGTCTGGATTCAGAACACCAGAGAAGAGATGATTCCAACCCCTCAGATGATGCAAACCCTGAAACAACAAACAGAACTACCAAGTTTTGCTGCAAGTTTGATTGCATCATAATTGCTGTTAATGGTGTTCATCGTCTGTTTGATTACATTATTGGTTTCTTCATACACTTCTGCCATATGTACATTAACTGACAGTAACCACTGATAAGCTACCACTAAATATTGTAGAAACTTAATTTGCTGTAAAACTCCTTTGCATCAGAAAAACGCTATACAAAAACTTGAATTGAACGATCAACATTATCAGCTGGCTCTCCTGGCAGGAGTTCGGTTTCACAGTGAAAAACAAAGTATAACAAAACATGGGTGATGTTCTCTGCTTTCATGGCATGTTTGTGGCTGCCAAGTTTCAGCTATATAAAAAGCACGCAACATCTGGTAGGTGACACTTGCGCGCTCTCATTTGCAGGCATCATGACTGAGCGTACTCGAATCGTAAATAAGCCTCTATCTCGATCAGGAGCAGATAAATCATGACCACAGAGGATTTAAAAAAAATAAATAAAAAACACATCAGACAAGCCGTGCTTCAGGCCACACCCCCAATCGCTCGAGGATGCAAATCGGGCTTAAGATTGTGCAGCCAGCAAGAGATCCACCATCATTTAATAAAAATAAATAACCCATACACACAACAGAAAGTTGCTTTGCTTCAAACCTTTATTGGAGTTTCAATTATGGAAGACATGCATCACATGGCAGTTTACCAGAGTCTTTTAGCCCTTGACGGAGTAGATGTGACTCGAGGAAGAGCTGCGGGATAGTGGAGCAGGAGCATTCTGGTTATTCACTGAACTGTGGCTACTCAAGACCTCAGAAGCACTACTGGATGTACCTTGACCAGCAACACTTGGAACATAGGGCAGAAGCTGGGACCCAGGGGTATACTTTGTAGAGAGGCGTTGAGACTGAAAAGAGCCACCATAACTGGTGCTACCACCCGGTGCAGAAACTCTTGAAGATGAGCCTCTTGCAGATGACAGGGAATATAACTGCATTGGAGAGCTTTGAGATGAAGAGCTCCCCTGTCACGCAGCTGCATCGGAGGTCTGAATAACAGCTGAAGGCTGCCATCTTTGAGACTTCTGGCTTTGGGACACAGAATAGCCTTGATATGCTTGGCTGGACTGACTAACAACACCTTGGGGTGAGTACAGTGATAAACCTGGATATGAGGAAGGAGACCCTGGGGAAAACTGGCTAGCAGTATCTAGAGGCTGAGGTGATGCATCATAAGCAGTGCTTCCCTGCAGGATAAATGGCGTAGAGGACCCTGCCTGGGTGCCAGAGCTGCCTACGAAGGTAGAAGCCAGCCGCTTCAGAGAACCTTTAACATTAGTAGATGGACCAGCATGGGGTGAGGACAATAATAAACCTAGATATGACGGAGACCCAGGGGCAAACTGGCTAGTGGTACCTTGAGACTGGTCAGAACCACCGTAAGAGCTGCTCATTCCTTGGGAGGCAAAACCTGTAGAGGCCCCAAACGAAGCCCCAGAGCTGCCCTGGTAGGCAGAGGTAAACCGCTTTCGAGAAGCCTGAACATTAGTAGATGGACCAGCTTGGGGTGAGGACAGGGTTACACTTGCATGGGAGAAATGAGATCCAGGGGCAGGCGGACCTGTGGTATCTTGAGGTTGAGATGAACCACCATAAGCGGTGCCTCCCTGCAGGATAAATGGAGTAGAGGACCCTGCCCGGGTGTCAGAGTTACCTGCAAAGGTAGAGGTAAGTGGCTTCGGAGAGCCCCAAATAGTAGACTGACTGGCAACACCTCGGGATGGGGATAATACACTTAGATATGAGGGAGAAATGGGTGCAAATTGACTTGCAGGACCTTGAGGCTGTGGTGACCCATCAAAAGTGATACTTCCTTGCAGGGTGAAGGGAGTAGAAGACCCTGACTGGGTTCCATAGCTAGAGGTAAACGGTTTTTGTGAACTCTGAGCAGTAGTAGAGTGACGGTCTACACCTTGGGGTGACAACACACATTTGCAGTATACGCTTTCATATGGAGAGCTAGGGGAAAACGGACTTGCCGTATCTTGAGGCTGACGTGATCCACCATAAGCTGTGCTTCCATGCAGGGTGAAGGGAGTAGACCCTCTCTGGGTGCCAGAGCTGCCCGTGTAGGTAGAGGTAAGCTGCTTCAGAGAACCCCGAACAGTAGTAGATAGACCAGCTTGTGGGGAGGACAGTGAAACACTTGCATATGGGGAAGACCCAGGGGCAGATGGACTTTCCGTATCTTGAAGCTGACGTGATCCACCATAAGCAGTGCTTCCCTGCAGAGTGAAGCTGGATGATCCTGCCTGGGTGCCAGAGCTGCCTGTGTAGGTAGAGGCAAGCTGCTTCAGAGAACCCTGAACAGTAGTAGATGGACCAGCTTGGAGTGAGGACAATGATAAACCTGGATATGAGGATAGAGACCCAGGGGCAAACTGGCTAGTGGTACCTGGAGACTGGACAGAACCACTGTAAGAGCTGCTCATTCCCTGCGAGGCAAAACCAGTAGAGGCCCCAAACTGAGATCCAGAGCTATATGGTTTACGGGAACTCAAGGCACTGGTGGACTGACTGAAAGTGCTTTGGGGTGAGGAAATGGGCCTGGAGTAGCCAAGCGCATATTGACTAGAGGTAGCTTGAGACTGTGGAAGCAACCCCCTGTAATAGTTCCCTCCCTGAGATGCAAACTGACCGGAAGCTCCCATTTGAGATGGATAACCAACCTGTGAACTTGCCCTATAGGATGACCCGCTCTTTGTGGCAGCTTGGGGTGCAGACATGGGAGCGCTTACATATTTGTTAGGGGACAAGGGAGCATATGGACCCAGAGTGCACAAAATTCACCTTTAAATCCATCAGCATTCCTCCAAACTAACGAGATGATTACTAGCAAGGGTAACCTACAAATTTTAAAAGACACATTAGCAAATGTTTGGAGTCACTCACAAACACAGATTGAATGAACAAGCTCACCTTTTCCGCCTTTGATCCATGGCAAAAAAACAAAACACAAGTACTCCAAAAGCCCAATGTTCACATTCGCAAACCCCCACACAGAATCAACAAATCCAAACATGCATGCAATTGGAGGTAAATGTATTTTATAGGCCTTTACCAGTCCAATTAGAGCAAATGACTAATTATATGAAATACTGTTCACCTGGGAAACTCCTCGTTAAAAGATAATTGATGCTTGTTTTGTGAAGGCTCTGATACCCTCTGCAGTTTAAACATTTTAAAGCATCTAAATAATCCCAGAACATTACGGTCACTATGTAACGTCTAGAGGAAATCAAACATTGTGGTCCAAGTCACATCAAAATATTTTCAAAAAGTCATATTTCTGAGTCATTATTTACTCACATTCATGTCGTTCCAAACCTGCAAGACCATCTGAAGGATTGTACTTTAATTTTGGTCCACTTGGAATCATTTAGACTTTTATGGAAGTTTTTATGGTGCTTTTACGCATATTTGAAACCCAAAAGGCTATATATGAGTTTAGAATGACATGATGGTGAGTAA